GAGAGAGGGAGAGAGAAAAGAAAATGCTTATGCACACCCACAGATAAAGTACTCCTGTATAATATATGTTTTTGTTGATATACGTGTGTGACTAGACTGCTGTGCCTCAGGTGAAAGAGCCACGGAGCATGAGCAGACCTAATCTCTGAACAGTGACAGAGGCCAGCAGATCTGGCTTGTATTCAGTCCAGCATCAGGTTATCTTTCAAGACAGGTAGACCGCTTGCCATCAAGAGTGCTTTACTGCTGAAAGGATTTTAAAACAATAAAGTGTAGCAGCCTTCTTTTGCACTTTGTTGAGAAACTGATAAACCCCACACTGACCTCGGTCTTTGGTCTTAGTTTTCTTTTTCATGCTGCTACACTAGGGGAGGATGGTTGTCTTATTTATGATTTACACCATGATGTAAACTCTGTTTTCTCAAATTTATCATGTCGCTGGTTTGAAAAGTACATTTTATAATATGATTGAGTGGACATTTTACTCTATTTATTAGAAGAGGCATACAGTACTGTCACACTTAACGTATACGACTTGATGTCAGATTAATATTGAACAGTAAATGCTCACCATGGTAACATCAAGTTCATTTCACTGTACATGCAGTTTATTTTGTACCATTGAAATCCCAAACACTGACCATGATTTGTAGAAAATCCTTGCAGGATGTAGCTGGGAAACGGTCTATTTCCACAGGCTAATACTGTGTGTTGGCGTTGGTGACAGTGATTAGACTAGACAGATAACAGCAGCAAGTGTTACAGCAGCGATCACACTGATATCAGCAATATCGCAGTGAAGGCAGTGGCTGCTCAGTAAGGCTTGAGATTTAAAGAGATCAGCCTCAGTAGGGGCCTGAAGGATAGACAGTCAAGCATATGACTTAAAGGTAGTTGATTTGATCCATAACCAGTCTGGAGAAACAGGAAAACAAAAGGAGCAGCAAGTGTGACTCCTTCAGTGCCATAGCTGAAGTGCCCTGGAGCATATGCCATCATTTACATGATGCAGACCTAATTTAAGGCTTTAATATACAGTATGTGGTGGTCATTGCTGTCACTGGTAAAACAGTAAGTAAAAGTTTATTTATATAGCACTTTTCAGAGTTACAGGGTACTTCCCAATAAGAAAAAAGAGAAAATAACCACAAGATAACTCAATTCAGTAAAATCAACATATAGTATAAAAACAGGCAGACAGACAGATGTCCTAGCCAGAGCCAGTGTTAAACATCTGTCTAAATAAATATGCTTTCAAAAGCAAGCGAAAGGCCGTCAGGTCCGAAACAGACCAAATCTCGAGCAGAAGGCTGTTCCGCAATTGTGGAATTGCAGTGATAGCATCCATAGATTAACCATTGATTAGCCGTAGTATTAACAGAATTAGTGTGTCACATAGTGTACACAGTCCAACCAGAAGTGGTTGACAAGCTAAAGCCAAAGAAGTGTCATTAATAAACCAGTAGTACAATCATAAGCATTGCCTTGACACTGGCAAAGTGACGATTTTGGGTGTAGCAGTTGGCATTGCTTCTGATTTGTGTTGTTGGTGCAGTGTATCGATCTGCACGGAGCGCGCCAGCTGAAGATGTTATTGATGTGGCCCATGCGCCTTAGGTTTGGATTCCAAGTGCCTTGTGTGTCACATATGTCAGCATTTCTGTTGATCATGGTGTGTATACTGTATATCAGATGCCTAGAGCGTACACAGCCCCTGCTCAGGTCCAGGGATATTAACTGGTCCTAAGAGGCAGGTGGGTTTAAGTGGTTTTGAAGAAGCAGTGACGAAGTGGTCCTGTCAGGGCCCGGTAATAAAGAGCTGGTTGATGGATTTAATCATATTTACACCCAAACCATCATTATCGGGCTGAGCACACAAAGCGAGCAGGAAAAGGTACAATTCCACCTACACTTGTGAAGAAGCACTTAATCAACAAATTGGGTTCTTTCCTACATTGTATTACATTATACCTAAAGCAGGTACAAATGCAGTTTCCTGTTCACTGTGATTAAAATTTCTGCATTTTGTGTTGGGTGAGAAATGACATGGATGACATTTTCATTTCGCATGATTACATTACTCTCTGAATGCTTAACAGGTTTTGTGCTATAATCCAGTGACCCTGAATGTATCTATAAATCCCTGTCTTTGCATCAGTGGTCTTAAAAGGCTCCTCTCAGGCATTTACATGAGTAAGTAACTGATTTTGAAGGTTGAAGGTTTTTATTACTTAGTATTTGCAATGGAAAAAAAGGTGGTTCAAGTACAGCAGCTATTCTGTATTAGGTTAGCATTTAATATATTTTTTATGTAGAAAAAAACCCTGCAGTTTATTGGCATTAAACTGCCTGGGCCTATTTGGTTATTGTTATGTTTCCTTGTCGGCCTATAACATATTAAACTTCAAAATTAAAGGGAAGTGCTTTTGTAAGAGGTGGTGCAACTGGCTGAAAGGTAGTGCCAACATAAAAACATAATTGCTAGGTGGCCCAGTGAGCAGTCATCAAAGGGGGTAACCACTAATTTTTGCACAGCCTCAACTTGGAGATATTTGCTTATCTGGCATTAATTACAATGCGAGTATCTTGTCTGACAAATTTGTGTTCTTGGCTGAAGGATGAAGGCACAACATGTGGCTAATTCTGTTTTGTGCAGAAGCCTTTGATAAATGGCCGACACACTTCACTAAGTTACTTAAATACTTGTATAGCACCAGCTGCCTGCATTTTAATAATGGCTAGCGGTGTGCAAGGAAATTCAAGAATTACAGGTGTTCTTAAATTAGTGGTGAACTGGTTCTCGCCACTTTGTACAGCATGTCTGGATAACATTCACTTATGTCCCAACAATAAATTTAAGAGCCCCTGTTATGAAAGCTGCTCTTTTTGTTGCACTAAGCAGAAATATAAGAATTGTTGTGTATATTATGTAACAAATGTGCAACTTTATGGTGTGTCAGTGAAATTACTGTACCGAACAGGGAGTGTGAAATTCAAGATGGGACGTAGTAACTACTACCACTGATGGCTGTTTTGAATGTCATATATTAGTCTTACCAGACCTTTAATCTATGACATTCTTTTATTATTGTTGGAATTAAATTTCCTCTGACCAGTGGCAGCAAGAGCAATGCTACAGAGAATTCCCTAATGGCAAGAGAATATAACCCTCGCAAGACGGTGAAGGAATAGATGTCTTTTCTAATTCATACAAAGTCATAAATGGACTGATTATTGAAGGTCTAATGATCAGATGTTATGACACTTCACAAGAAGCATGATAGCACACAGATCATTTAGATGTTACTGACAGCTGACTATAATTACGCATGAATAGAGAAATCAATGGATTGACACTGATGTAGACATAGAAAATATATGGAAAAGGCTCAGAGTAGTAACTTTACACACCCTTAATATGACAGAATGAAACTGAGGCTCCCTGAGATTTGACGAACACCTCCATAAGTTACATTTAAGACACAGCAGCAGCCAAATATGTCGTTCCAGAACAGATACAACAAAGAGAGAGTACACAAACAGAAGCACACTGTAGATGGTTTGGAGAGCATCAGGGCAGCCCTCTCAATCCAATAGTGATGAGTCAAGCCATAAAGAAAACAAGTCGATAAAACCATATTTCACAGAGTGAGGATGATTCATAATATAGTTGTTATATGTTGCTCCATTACTGACACTTCCCCATATTAGAAGGTTTCATTTGGAAATAAGTTTGATGGCAACATTTTCACATGATGACATCTGTGAAGATGATGTATGATTTCAGTGCTTTCACATAAAATAAGATGCAGACAGGACAGATCAGAGAAACGTTAAAGGACAAGAACAACTATTTTGTTATGGAGAAGTAGATGGTGACTCATGGAATGTGGTGTTTTTAATAATTTCTCTGAAAGGAGTCTTCCTTAAATGCTGTGTACTATAACAGTTCCCACTCTTTTCCAGTTTCATCATCCATAATAGCAATTCTAAAACGTTTACATTCACAATAAAGGAGAACACATTATCTTTACAGTTCAGTATGTGGGCATTTGCATGCTAAGGACGTGCATTATACGCACATTAGAGATGTATGTGTGTGCATGGTAGCTGGATTGAGACTTCGGTGGAGCATGGCAAAGCATTGTGCCATTGGATTGGTTTGTATTTAATCAGATTTATGTTCAACATTATTAACAACGGTGGAAGACAGAGGGTAAATGAGAAAATGAAGGAAAGGAAGGCGATGACAGAGAGCTGTGTAATAAGCTTTGGTACCTTGGACATTCTCTCTCTCTCTGTCTCCTCCCTCCATCTGTTACACTGCTCTCTCTGGGAATGTTTTGACTCTATTTTGATTATTTAGCCACATCCCAATTTCAGTTGCATGTATGGATGAGGAACTACTCATAATTTTAGTACAGGTAATTTCATCAAGTATTTATCTTCAGTGTTTTTAGGAGGGTTTTAGTCGGTGTCAGAAGATGGCACAAGTGTTTGCCGCCTTGCTGACCTTGTAGACAGTTCTAAGCTGTGTTGTAGGAAGCTGATGTCCACTCACTGGTACTCAGAGGTTCTGTGAGTGAGAGCTGTAAACAACCAGAAAGCCCTGGAATTGGCACTCAAGGCAACACACACACACCCACACACACACACACACTTTCTCTGTCTCGGCTTTCTTAACAATGCTGGACATTCACATGTACCGTATTCAGACTTTTTTACAAAACCCTCACACACACACACACACACACACACACACACACACACACACAGAAACAAGCCATAGCCCCACCACACTCCCCCTCTCTCTCCTTTGCTCTTCCTTCCTCCCCCTCTCTGGGTCTGCACCACATCAGCAGCAGCTGGAGAGTGCAGCATAGCATTTCATAGCAGGGCAGAGTAGGCAGAGTGGCCCTGTGTGGACCATCTAGTGGAGAGATGGAATCCGCCTGCTAACGTTGATCATTTCTCTCTCTCTCTGTCTCTCTCTCCTTTAGAGCTGCAAGCAGAGAAACAGCCAAGCTCCTCCTCTCCTGCCACCCAGGAACTGATGACAAGGCTGGGCTTTTTACTGGGAGAAGGGATCCCGGGTGCAGCACGCATACCTATGGACGACAAGAATGAAAAGAAGGTATTTCATTTTCTCCCTCCCCTTCCAACAGCAGCTGCAGCACCCAGATAGAGAGAGAGAAGAGAGCGGGGCAGGATCAGAGGAGGAGGGAGGTGTTACAGTGTAACAGAAGAATGGATATTTTTGTTGCAGCTTGATTAAATTTTTCCCCTGTGCATTATCCTTTTGTATGGGAATTTAGGAGGCACCTTTGGGAATTATTCTTTTGGCACAACAAACAACGGTAACTGTCAACTTGTTTTGTTTGAGATGTTAAAGATGTTCTAAAGAAAGTAACTGCCTATTTCAAATTGGCTGCATGTGGTTTTATTTCAGTGCATGCATTCCACTGTGGTGTGTTAGTCTCCCAGTAACTTGAGCGCTATTCCAGGGGCTCTTGAGTGTGTAAGAACAGTGTCCAGATACAGAGTTATATTAGGTTTGAGCCTCAGTTTGTTGGGCACAACTAATTAAGCTGTGTGAAGAGCAGAACCCAGCACGCTATGCTTCCCTCGTTCGTCTTGTCTTGGACTCGTTTTGACACTGAACCAGTGGAGAGTGACAGATGGTTATAAAGTATTTTATGAATGATGTCAATAGTTGAGGAGGCAGAATGGCACTGTAATTGTTTTTACTTGCATTTGTGTGCTTGTAGGTAGGTGTGTGCTTTTGGGGCTCGGATGAAAACGAGCACGTTATTCTCACCCACCAGCAAATTCTTCTTCCTTCATGCTACTGGTTTACAACATGTCTTTAACTCAGCATGTTGTTCTACCTTATAGCAAATTATTAAATGTCAGTAAACAGTTTGGCTCTTAGTCTGATTTGTTAGGTGCCATAAGCTGTGGGCTGCAGCCTCAGGCTGGAAGTTTCTAAGCATAAACTACTGGCATAAAAACAGAAACAGAAAATGCTATGTTGTTAATCCTCGCATTCTGCACATGTTGGTAACGACACTGCCAGCCACGAACCATCCCTTCAATTTTACTGTTTTTATCTTTTCAGCATGCCATATTACGAATGTTTTGTGAGTTCAGTCAGGCTGAACAGGATGTGATTTTCCTCACAGGAGGCTGTTTTTCAATAAAATTTAAGTGATGTTGATTCTGATGACTTATCTCAATCATTATGACCCATAGTGCTTATAGTCTGTCTACCTCATGATTTCTTGTAGGCTTCCCTATGCTATTTTGAAATCAAGCATGTGATATTGAGTCACGCTGTCCAACTTTTATATACTACACACACGTGTATATATATATAAAACATGTTGTAATATTTGTAGATAAGATCAATGAATTTTGCCCAATAAAAAAGGTTTATTGATATTCTGTAATACTCTAATAAAGGTTTAGGTAGGAGAAAGATTTATCCTGTTTGACAAACTTTAATATGTATTTAAAGCAAGTACTGTTCCAGTTTTAGTGCAGTAACATCATGCAGTATGTGAGAGAGGCTTAACAACAGGTTAGGGATGATTGAGGTCAGGTGTCATGTTAGAAGTGGATTGTCATGTTTTTAATTGGTGGAGTTCGTATGATGTAATGCACAGCCTTGTAGGAAGGCGGCTTGAGAAGCCAACTGTGTGTTAAAGTCCCTCTGGCAACACAATATTTGCAGCCAAGTTTGTTTATTGAGGATGAGGGTGGAATTAATTTGATCTGGACTTGTAGTAGTAGATTTTACATTAAGTATTTTATGTGGAAATGGGTAGTTTTGGATACATTTTACAAGCATTGCTCTAATTTGATCAAGTTCCCAAAGAGAATGAATTGTGTAAACTAATTACGAATAGTTTTGTTTGGTGTTTATTTGTCTGTAAAGTTCATGCTGTCTGATTTTTATTTAAAAAAATGCCCCTTGGTGGAAAAATAATTGGTTGAAACTGATCGTCAGGCTCAGTCTCTGTGGTGTGTAAATGCTTGAAGCCTTTGGTTCTTTTTACACAGGGACAAGGATGACCTTCTTGAGCTGCAGTGTATTGTGTGGAATCAGAATACAGTTGAAGGAACATCAGGAAACTGGACAAACCAGCTTTAGCTTGGGCTTTTCTGGTTGTCAGTTAGCTCAAACAAAGATTCAGCTGTTGTATGGTTGTCAGACAGGCTTGAGGACATTAGAAAGGTATCCATTGTATTTCAGCAAAGTTGAGAACTCTCCCCTTGTTGAATGCCTCTTCAGGCTTATTTTGGTTCCTCCAGGCATATGAGTGTGTAATTTTCAATCCTTGCTCCATTTACAGTGCTTATGCCTTTCAGCTCGTGTGTCATGCTCACATGTGAAAGGCCTGTTTATTTGTGAGGGATTTTTTTTGTGTGTTGCTTTCACATAATTCAGGTGAAATAGCTACTTGGATCAAATCATTCTTTAGAATATTCTCAGTTCTCCTTCCAAATAAGGTTGGAAAATTCTTTTTCTTGCATTTATTGCTGCTCATGCAGAAAAAATGTGAATGTGTTGCCAGTTGACATTCTGAGTTGAATTCATACTTCGCTGACATATTTGATTAGTGGAGCAGGGTACTGGCGTACCTTAACCCTTTTTCCTTTTTCCCTTCTCTTCAGTGCTCCGTGACTAGCCAGGGCATCAGCCCCTGCTCTACACTGACCAGCAGCACGGCGTCTCCCAGCACCGACAGCCCATGTTCAACACTCAACAGCACAACCAGCCGCCCGCCTCTCAGCCGCTCCAGCCCCTGTGGGACCATCACCAGCCCCAGCTCCACACTTGAGAGCAAAGACAGTGGGATCATAGGTGAGAAAAAAAAAAAAACACACTGTACCCAAACATCAATTTATCTGGTACAAGAAAACATAAGACCGGTAGCATTGAAGGCTAGCTGTTGAAAATATGCCACTGTTGTACTGCATTTGTATTTGAAGCAGATATCTTAAATTATACAAGGTGATGCAAAATTAACCATTCACAATCACATCTGAGCCCACATAACGCAAAGCATGCTATAGAATACCTATGCATACAATTCATAGATACAAATAGAACAAAGAAGTGCATAGAGAACTCTGTCTGAGGTTTTCCATGAGCTCTCTTAAGTCTAGCACATGTTAGGAAAGAAGCTTTTATTTAAGGATCTCCTCCTCCTTTGGTGGTCAGTAAGTATGTATTTAAAAACCACATCACACTCAGTCCCAGCCCTATGGAAGACATCGTGTGTTGTCCCGGTTCCCAAAATAACTCATCCTAAGGAGCCGAACCACTACAGACCCGTTGCCCTGACCTCCCACCTGATGAAGACCATGGAGATGATTGTCCTCGGCCACCTCCGTGCCCAGGTGAGCTCAGCGCTCGACCCGCTGCAGTTTGCATACCGTCCTGGCATCGGGGTTGATGACGCCATTATCTACATGCTGCATCGAGCCCTATCTCACCTGGAGTCCCCCAGAAGCATGGTGAGAGTCATGTGCTTTGACTTCTCCAGTGCTTTCAACACAATCCAGCTGTCACTGCTGAGGGGGAAGTTGGAGGGGGCAGGTGTGGACCAACACCTGTCCACATGGACCATTAACTACCTCACAAACAGACCTCAGTTTGTCAGGCAGTTTGTCAGACTGTGTGTCGGACATGGTGGTCTGCAGCACGGGGGCGCCCCAGGGGACGGTGCTTTCCCCCTTTCTGTTCACCCTCTACACGTCGGACTTCCCACCACTGTCACCTACAAAAGTTCTCTGATGACACCGCCATTGTTGGATGTGTATCGGGGGGCTGAGCGGGAAT